CTACACTAAATATTGAACAACAAAATCCACGGTTTCCATATAATTTAATAAATATAATAATAAATTGAAATCGGACTCTAAATTACCACGTGGATGATCTGCTGCTCAAATGATCATAATGTGGTTATTAAGTAGAACGACAATGACTCGATTTGGTGCTTGTATAATTTGGCCATAAAAATGCATATCGTATAATCAACACTAACTAAAACGATCTAGCTTCAAAAAGCGGCGTTTTCTATGCCCTTCAATTAGCGTATGGATGCAGCATGATGATTATGGGGCAGATAAGCCTTTTAACGATTATTTACGGATGACCATCACGCTACAAGAATACAAGTTTTACACTGTACATTGATGTGATATTGGGCACACCTGGCCATCTTAACACTATACAAGTCTATATAATATTACACACAAATATGACAAAAGAAACTTAATCCATCTGCACCGAAACTTTATCCCTTATTTCAAGTACATTAATATAATATTATGTGTGATGAATTGATATTATTCACCTGAACGTTTTTATTTGTTTTTCCATGAAAGGCTGGTAGTTTTACTATTGAGGTGTGGTCTGTATAAATAATCTCTATAGAATATATATATAGAGAAATGGGGATTAACGTCCACTCGACAAAACTAGGTCATTACGGGACTAACATATGGTTTAATTTTATTTCAATAATTCGCTTGCGCATAGGGGTCTTTAGCAGTGGGAGGAAACCGGAGGACCCGGAGAAAACCCACGATGTTGGACAGGCGACCCTACTTCTTGTCACGTATAACCGGGGATTCGAAACCACGCTATAAAATATAACTAAAACATATATATCATTATGAAGTTTTAAATTGGTACAATTTCTTTTTTATTAAAGAGTACCTATTACAGTACCCTATTCAAAAACATATTTGGACCAACAGTTACTCAAAATCATCCATTCGATTGGACTTTTCGCCATTTAAAGTTTACATTAGTTTCTTCATGTAAATGTGATGCTGTATGTATTTAATTTGTGTCTGCTAACATCGATGCCATGACATTATGTGGCCTATAATATATATTTTTAGCATGCAAAATCACTATTTTAACAACCCGTGGCCCTTAATTTTAAAAAAAAATTGAAAACAACGACATTTGTTTATTGGCCTTCTGTCATATTGCTTGCAGTACATCTCAGAGTAGAATTGAAAATTCAACATAATAATGTCCATGGTTCAAGAGCATGTTTGAAATCAAATGACAGAGAAATTAACAAAGGCTATCTTCAGTTCCTGGACATAATAATTATCCGTTACGTTTTGGTGTAAGTGCAACACGTATGGGTCTATTATTTGCTAAAAACGTCAATAAAATCTAACAGAACAGGTAGGGAAAAAAAGCCAATCGATTATCCCAGGAATAATTACGTTTCACTGTTTAAACAAAACGTAATAAAAAAAATAAAACTACCATTGCATTGATTAAGTGTCAAAAGAGTAAAATTTTAATTTAAATTGACTATAATTTTTAAAGATAAATATTTTATGAAATATTGTTGTATTTACTGATATGTTGGTTTGTCCTTCTTGACAAAGATAGAACGCAAATCCATAAGAAATTTTTTTTTTTTTCGTTTTTATTGACTTCTTTATAGTTGATTTTATCTATAATTTGTAGCTTTCACTTGTCAAGTTAAATTCTATTTCAGAAGATGTCATTTGTATTGTTATGAATGCATACATTGTTACGACCTGTAATGAAACGGTCTATTGAGCAGCCACCTCCTCAGAGAGACAGCGCTGTTATTATTTCTTCCAGAACAAAACTTCTAGTTATTACGCTTATGATTGCAAATTATCCGGGGTTTGACACGTCTGTCAGTGGTCCCGGATATAACTCGAGGATTTAGTCATATTTAGTCTAACAAATTATTTATCTGTTTAATAATGCGATTCAAATTGCCCTTATATTTAGGTTATGTGTCAGAATCTTTTTTGGACCGATTATGCCTGCCATTTCTTTAGAAGCTTGGTGTCAGTTTGTATAGGAATGAAAAAATAATGATGTTTAAGTGGATGTCGATCTTAAATTTACCATTAAAGCAATCATTAAATATGAATTGGAGGGAGAGAGGGCGAGAAAGAGAGAGACAGGGATAGAGCAATGGCGTTTTAACGTCCACACGGCACACACTAGATCGTTTTGGGACTTACGTATGGTTTAATTTCCTTTCAATAATACGATTTTGCGTACGGTTTCCCGAGGAGAGAGAAACAACGAGGATGGACAGGCGACCCTATTCCTTGTGAAGTGGGAAGTCCAAACCAAGCCAGTTGCCTCAATGACAGACCTTGTGATCTTACTCTCACGCGTTAAAACATCTCCCCCCCCCCCAAAAAAAAAAAAAAAAAAAAAAAAATTAAAAAAATAATAATATGGTTTGGAATTTCGTCTCGGTGGGAATTATCTCTTGTTGAAACGAAATAAATAGGTAACTTTATCCATAACCCAGATGAATGACCTCCTTAGCCTGCCCGATCAACAAACTTTAGTCGATGGATCGCTGCCTTGACGTTCCGTGTTCGATTCCGGTCTTGGTCCCTTGACAAGGAACAGCGTCTAGTCGTTCTGACAGTTTGAATTCAAAATAAGCGTAGGTTGTAGTGACCGTACCCGTAGCCACGGGGGGGGGGGCTATGAGGGGGCCCGCCCCCAGCCCCCCAAAAATATCGAATTAGCCCCCCCCCCCCCCAAATATTTTGCCAACAATAATGATTTCTTAGGTGCGTTCTTAGCCGGCCACATCCTCAGCCCCTCCAAAAAATTCCGTAGCCCCACCAAATTTAATGACCTGGCTACGGGCCTGGTAGTGACCCCATAGAAAACTGCTTTACCTATGAATGGCCTATGAATGTTCATCATGAATCGAATATAGGCATACGGACACAGATCACCAAATATTCCTACGCCGTCACCACGAAACAAGGGCCAAAGCTATTTTTAGTCTTCCTCTCCCTTTTCCTTTTTCCCCCTTTTGCATGGCGATTTTTGTTGACTTTTTGGTGTAGAATTGAGGAAAAGGGTTTGAAAATACATTTTCTGCCAGGTTTTGGTGAATATTCATAATTTTGATGCGGAAGGATACAAGAGTTGAGAGGTTGGTTACGTTGAAATGTAGGGCCTGAAATTGCATGTTTACTTGTCTCTACTTCCAGCTTGTGTATCTCAAGTTTTTCATGAAGAACCTCATACGTGCTTTTGGGCAAGTGGTTGCCACATGTTGCTCCATCTGTGGTAGAAAGCGTTCTACCCAACGAAAATTTGGGAAAAAGTTAGAGCCGGTCTAAGATACGAGAATAAAAATTGGAGTCAATGGGGAAATCTTTAGTGATCTGTGTCCATACGGTTGTCACAGATCCTATTTCCGCGGGAGTTCTTCCCCTTGATCAACTTCTTGAAGGTACATCGTCATATAGAATTAAATAGTGTTCACCTATTTATAGCCATTCTTTCTGTTTCCCGCTTTGCCCCGATTTCTATGTGGTAGTTGCTATCACAAGCCAAAGGGAGTGTTCTAATTTAAATTTCTGTCCAGTTTTGGTAAATATTAATAACTTTAATGAATATTCAGGATTTCTGGGGTGGAAGGAGCAGAAGTAAAACCACCATCAATATTTTTATCATATGCTTGAGGCATGTCGTTATCAAGATTAAGATCCTCGAAATGTGCAAATTAGTATAGACTAAGAAATGGCGGGTTTAATCCTGACTTCAGCCATGTAATGTGGCGGGGGTGGGTGGAGGTGGGTGGAGGTGGGGGCGAGAATGTGTATTAATAGAGGAATCTACCCTTGATCAATTTCATATTCACCATCCTGCAGGTAAATCCCATGTCTCACTCTCTGAAAAATCATAGCCAGTCTCGAAAACAACATTATATTAACTGGATTTAAATATTTACATAAACATTTATTATACAGGGCGAATGAACAGTTACAATACTACTTTGTTTTCCATAATATATGTGCTCTTTGGTGGTGAAACTTTAAAATATTAGGTGAAGGTACATTTAGATTCAGAGAGAGAGAGAGAGAGAGAGAGATAGAGAGAGAGAGAGAGAGAGAGATGTACATCTTAACAATCGGGATTTAGGACAATATTATCATCACCTAAAATAAACTCTGAGATGTTCATATTTCATGTTAGTGATTCGTCGCGCTATCTTTTACAAAATAATATCGCGTTTATTTGTTTCTACAAAGGACTAATGCTCAATATGTTAATATCAATGTGTATTGTGTACAGCTACCGTCAAAATTGTGTTGTCACTTCCGAATCAGGTAACTTATTTCAATAACGTTCAGCATTTTAGGGTTAACTCGGTTTGTAGGTGAAAGTAACACACACATGCATTATATAAGAGCTAAATCTGCCTATTGCAGGGCTTTCATTTGTCTTCACATGTTATATAAATTATTATTTAGACAATCAACACCCTAGGCCATCGGATGGGCGACATTTAAATGGATTTAAACATCCATATAAAATGGTAAATCGAGGCTAAGTCTCGGGTGTCGAGTGGCATTGCTACGATAAAGAACAATCTATGCTATGTCTCCAAACAGTCAGAATAAAGTACTTTGAATGAAATCTTCATTATATTCATTTTACATTATCTATATTTGAACTACTGCTTCAATCTTTAATAAATAAAGAAGGGTTTTTATCCTTAGGTCAATATGTACCCCCTAATAAAACAAAAGGATGTTGGGGTGTTAGAGCTTCTCCGAGGACAGCGAATTACCATTTACAATTATATCACGATAAATGAACTTATTTTTCTTAGATTCTGAAACATTTTAAGAATGGTTTCTTTTTCAAATTTTGTTTTTTATATTTTAAGTAAAAGAATTCTTAATTTTTGTTAATTCTACCCCCCCCCCCCCAATTAAACAAAGATTCATATGTGATTAAGTCGACTGCATTAACCCCCCCCCCCCAGCCCCCATGTCCTATTCTCTTTATTTTGGAATACTGAAATATATAATTAGTTCTAAATTCTTATGGTATTCATTTATCCACAGCAGCAGTTCACTGATTATTCACCTATTAATATTTGATATATAATAATTGTCTTAGTGCAAGAAAACAGCACAATATATGAGTTGATACAAGTTGTTCAGAACGATGTATCACTAAAATCTGAATAAGGCCTACAATAATCTTTCACTGTTTCAGATAAAGTAGATATTCCATTTCTGGTTACCATTTCGCCTGTAATAAAAAAAATATATAACAATCTTATCATATTCATTAAAGTGTTCATGGAACAGGGTATTTATGTATGTGTGCCCCAAGTACCGTTCTGGTTACCAAATGGCAAAAATACATGGCGGCTTCTTGAGTAAATCGCTGGCTCGCAAACAAACCAGGTTGTCACAGTTTGGGCCGAGAAGGTTCATCGGGGTTAAAAGGGCTCAACAAAGAACAGATGTCTCGTGCGCGACTTATTTCACGGGACGGGCATAACTGTGGCATGTCACAATTCTGTGCCACTCAATACTAAGTCTGTCAATTCGATACTTACAGGACTGAAACCCGAGAACCTCAAACGCATCAAGCAATGTGCTTGATTGAAGCAATTCCGACAAAAGGTACGTTGGCCACCGCGCACCAATGACAAACCTTGAATGCCGAATGCTAGATAGAATTCGATTAAAATTCGACCTTTTTCTGATTCCTGACTCTATGAAGTGAATTTAAGACATCAAAATACTAAAACGTAAAACATTAATGTAAATAAAGGATTCAAACTTAAATTCTGTTCAATCCAACACGCCCTAAGCAGATTACCAGATCGCATTAAATGGGGAATAACTCTATTTAACATCGATCATCACAACTGCGACGCTTTTGCTTGGTTCTTTGATCGCAGCGTTTTTATCTTAAATATCAAATAATGCGTGGGTCGGTCCAATTCAGTTGTTAGACATTTGCGCTATATTTACATTTCTTTCTAATAAAGTTTAGCCCGAGAGCTTGGTTCAGAAAACTGAATCAGGGACATAGGTAGGTGTATGGGATTTCGTTTTATTCTGAATCTTCACATTACAAAAAGAGAGAAGCGATTATAGCTCGGACACTATGTGTGGCCCAATACCTGGATGTCTCGGTCTTGGAGTTTGCTTATAAAGGTAAAAAGTAACTCGTGATTTTCCTGTCTGGCTTACTCTTGTCAGTGATGCAGAATGAGGGGTCTTACAATGAAATGTGTCTATAGTAGTCTCGTGTATACTATTGGCATCACGTCAAAGACTCTGTGGCAGTTGGAAACCCCAATAATAGTAACCCGTAGTCTGCGCCAAGTTTAGAACGAATTCCAAAATGGCTGCCAATCTCCCCAACACCAGCTTTGGAAAAGGAGCAGTATTTTCAACGTTTTCAGAACTGAAGGCAACAATTAAGAAATGGGAAGGGTTAGGGTTAGGGTAGGACTATTTTTAAGACTATTCAGTTTTTAACTTCGCCGATGGAGGGCGTGAAAGCATCGTCGTAACAAAAACCTGAGGACTATTTTTACGACTCGTCGTAACAATAGCCATAGCCTTACTAATTATATAACCGTTAAACATACTCACATAAAAGTGATAATCGGGAGCCCAGATGTTGTTCTGTACCACCACGTTTGCTAAACTGATGTTCACAGGCTACAGCACAGTCTCGATATCTTCCTATCATTCTGAGAAGATCATTTCTCAATGGCCCCATCATTGGTCGATCATCTGTGGCTGTTATTAAAGACTTTATAAACTCATCAAATGATATATCTGAAATAAAAACGTAATCTTGACGTTAAGGAACCTAAAGCTTCTTGATTTAGATCATTAAATTGGTAATTGGGTTATTTGGATTAGTTCAACAAAGTTTCTAGTGATTTTCTAGTCTGTTTTCCCTTTGCCAGTGGCACAGTTGAGAGGTAAATAAACGCGTAGGTATGACAAAGTGGTGTATAACTTTCATCGAATTGAACGATAATTTAGGTGCATAGAACTTATTGACCCCAGCTGGGTTTTTTTTTATTAATATATGATATTGACCTTTCAACTCTGTATATACTTCTGTTAGGCATAAATTGGCTATGTTATAATTAATCCTATCTGTCATTTACACGCTACATATGATCTGTGTACAAGCTCCGCATGACGTTAAAGGAAATACGCATCGGCCAGTTAATCATACATACCATGACGTGATAAATAGACAATTCCATATATTATGGCCATTACTCTTTTCCATTTTCCCTAATTGTTGGGTTATATAACCAAGAGTTTACTGAAAGTTGGGAGAGAAGAGACGTAGACAAGAGACGAGCGGAAGAAGAGGGAAGTAGAGACCGGCGAAGGGCTCGTCTGAGTTCAGCGAGGCAGCAGGGCTGATTGGTTGAAATATAGTCATATTATACTATGTTAATGTACCGTGTTGATGTTTAATTTATGTTCCTGTTGTATTCATGTAGCTGTTTTATACTTTGTAGTGTAAATAAATGATATATTTACTAAACTGATTCTGTTATCACTAAAATAGTGTTACATAGGGTCTTCGGGTGGGACGAACAACCGAGGAAAATTGTATACATTGGCGTGCACGTAAACGAGAGAGAGGGAGAACTGGGGTTTAACGCCCAATCGACACAAATTAGGTCATTTCGGGACTAACATATGGTTTAATTTTTATTTCAATAATTCGCTTGCGCGTAGGGGTTTTAGCAGCGGGAGGAAACCGGAGGACCAGTAGAAAACCCATGAGGTTGGACGGGCGACTCTACTCCTTGTCACGTACAACCGGGTAATCGAAACCCACCAGTTTACTCAATGACAGACTGTATGATACAACGCGCGCGTGCTAACCATTCGGCTATCCAACCCCGCGTACGTAAACGAACACATAATAGTGACGACAGCTCAGTGTGTAAGGCACTGACTGACTAAACAGGACGTTCGGGGTTCGATCCCGGTGTTGGTCGAAAAAGTTACCCGGGATGTTGCAGCGTGGTTTACCCTTGTCAGTAGTTCAAAACGGGGGTAGGTTGGGGCTGACAAGGGATGTGCCTAGTTGTGTAAAAGTTGGTGTACATGTAAAACTGAAAAAAAGCCTTTGACAGGTGGAATTCGACGAAAGGGGAGGCCATAGCGCCACTGTCTGGTGGACAAAATGTTCCACATAACACTTTATATATGGCGTAAGCTCGCTTTCATTAGCCCAGTCGGCACAGAAAAGTAGGACGTTAATCCCTTTTCATTTAGATTAGTAGTGTGAAAAGTTCAAGATCATTATTGATTGGTAAGATTAATTCGGTATGATTACTAATATGGACTTGTCGGATGGTTCGTCAAGACGAAGCTGAGTGATATTTAGTCTAATTGTTCTCGAAAGCAGATATTTCTGGCTACTTATTCCAAACCCCAGCTTAAGCATGGGCCACTGAATAGGTCTCTTTTTTTGATCAGATATTATGCAATTTCTTCTTGTATCACATACCGTTTAATTGTTTGTTTCGCAATGACATTCAAAATGATATAAAATAATCTTTTCGTAGCATTAGGACCCGCTCCGTTTAAGCTGGGCGTTGACTTTCTTGAACGTATACTGTAACAGGCGGATAATCTTAACGTGCCCTGCATGTGTACATTCAAACAGGTGGCGGACCTATGAGATTAGGTGTGTGGATGGGGGGGGGGGGGCGGTGCGTCTTCTTCCGCCCAAGGAGAGACTTGTTATTTGTTGCGCATATCTGGACCCGAATGTAGCATTCAATTTTATCGGTTACCACTTCACTAAATGGCAATATAGTGAATGAAATTTGAAAATAAGTGATTTTTTTTTCTCAGACGTTATTTAAGAGGGTGGGGGAGAGGGTCAACTGGGTCTGCCACTGGTTCACATCCGAACGGCTACTACACTCTGAAAAAATCAGAAAACCTCGGCAACACAGTATTGTTTTGGTATCTTGTATGTATGAATTGGCCAGAAATATAAAATCTTAATCAAAATTATGTATTTAGAGCTCAATATTTAAAGCTCATATATACCAAAATAACCGAAGACGATCTTTAAAAAAAAAATCCATTTTAAGCATTAACTAGATATGAAAGGCGTGTGAAGGCCTTCAATAATTCAATAGAGGATGCTTAATACAGTGACGAACGGGGTATTTAATATTGGTCTTTGTACGGTGTGTACAATACACTTCAATATTTGTAGAATCACGTCCCAAATGCCAACAGAAAGTTCGCAGACAGATTATTATTGGAACTAGAAATTAATAGTAAATAGGTAAAAATTTAATATTCTTCGGTCAACGAAGAGAAAAAAAAAAGATTTTGACCATTCAGCTAAAATTGTGAATAGTCTCTAGGCTACATGATTTATAAAACGTCATTAATCACAGAACACGTGATGGGCGAAACATGTGTTCAATCGATAGATCAATAGATGTCTTTGCCTCATGGCTAACCTCGCATAGTGTTTTGTGTTTATCGGCGTGGCCAGCCTCAAAGTACAAAGTACAAATTGTCAGTTGTGCTGGGCGGAGGGCCTGGCAAGGACTGTTGTCTAGTTGTTCGGATGGGCCGAGAAACCGAGGTCCCGTTTACACATTTGCTTGACAGTTGGAATTCGATATAAGAGTAGACCGTAGCACCACTGTCATAGTCCACTGTATGGCGTAAGCCTGTCTTCATTAGCCCAGTCGGAGCAGAACAATAGGACGTTAAACCCCATTTCATTTCATTTCATTTCACAAAGACGCACATGAAATTCTGACCTGAAATTTCATATTTTATTGAACGCCACCACCTACGACCCGTACGTATCTATCGCTCGCAAACTAAATATAGCTCTAGCTGCATACTTCTCCACAGGACGACCAGAATGCCTACAGCCAAGAAACTGATCATTCTAATCACAATGAGCTCAACATGTCAAAATCATTTTATAAAAATATTGAAGAGGTTTGACCTTAACGAATTTATTTCTACGCGTAGATAATGGAATCTATAGGCTGTGGTGTCATGTTTATTTATTTCCGCCTCAAAATCATAAATACATTTACTAATACCTGGCAAATAATGTAAATTTAAACACTCTTCTTCGATTGTAGACTAAAACGTCAATACAAATTTACCTTCTATATGGGGAGTGCGGGGGGGGGGGGTGTCATTGCTATAAATAGACAGGTTGTGAAGTCGTGCACTGTCTGACTTATCTGGCTGGTTTTAGTTTTTCAATATCGGCTCACACCGGGCCTGGGGTAGAGTGCGTAAAAGATCTCTTGGCAGTTGTATTTAAAAAAAAGAGCAGCCATAATCGTGAATTGGCCGTATGTTAGTGTAAGAAAGTGTAACAGCCAATCAAGCCATGCCCATAAATACCCCCACCCGCTACACTATTTCAAGGTAAGCAGTACACATTTATCATTTTCAACCGGTTTGTTAGACCATTCAAATCATGCTTATATGCACTCATACCGGTAAAACACACCTAAATGTATACACTTTAAAGGGAGTAAAATTACACAAAATTATAACAATGTATATATCACCCTTAGGCATGACCAAATATATATACATAGATTGAAATTGGTGTGAGTGATTCCTTTCCCATGACAATTTATTTCCAGACAATTATGGAATTAAATTCTTAATAATTCAATATTGTCGGTTAATTGAAATACGTAGGTTAACACGACGTTAAAAGTTTTGCAAGAACGATCTGGTTATTATCGACTTGCTGGTCAGAATCAGTGACTTCGATATTTCTATCCAAATGCATGCATGCGTTCTTAAAGAGTAGGTATGATTCTATTCTAATAAGCGGCTTGCAGCCTAAATGACCATACTTGCAGCCATGACAGTAAGTAGTTGACACCAATGTATTTGATTAAAAGTTACAATAATTGTTTTAAAAAATTCTAAATAAATCACTGTGTATATACAGTCATATTGTATTAATATATGCTTTTGGACCCATTTGGTCTATTTTACGGTTCAAAAGAATTTTGCCATTCGCCCTTTAACATACTTTTGCCTAATTAATAGATTTATTGTGACAACTGTTCTGTGAAAATCCGAATCAGCCGCCTTGTTGGTGGTCAATTATCTGATAACAGTATATATGTCTCTAGTTCATTTGTTCTATTTTTATGACTATTATGAGATAAGAATAAGTGCACGGGATAACTTTTGTACTATGATATAGTTATGGTCTCAGACTAGCAATTATTTGCTGATTGACTTCAATGTTAAATGGCTGCAACATCACAGGCTACAGCTTTTTGCTAGGAGTACTGGATGCTGACTTGGGCTAAAATCTCACTTTTGGCGCGATGATTGCTCTACACAGCAACTAGGCAATTTACAAACTCTATCCCTCCGCTATAATATCACCAATATTACCTAAAAGTACTATGCAATTGCAAATTTGATCCATTTTTTCATATTCTAGACCTAAAGGTCAATTCAAAAAATGCAGAAAATGGGGAGAAATAAATTAAGCGAAAAATTGTCTATTTATAGCTCTTCTACATTCATGAAATAATTACTAGTCTCAGTCCTTATATTAGATCAGGCCTACATATTTCGTACACTTGGTAATTAAGGAAGGCCATGTATTATGTGTTTTATCTAGAGGGTCCACAAACAAATTGTGGACGGACGGACGGATAGGGGCGACGACAATATACGTCCACATGAAAATGTGGGCGTATAAAAAGGGGGTGGAGAGCCGCGTGGACTCAACAACTAAGTAACTGGCTCAGTCGGTGCAGAAAAGTGGGACGTTAAAACCCATTTCATTTCAATTAAAAAAAACCCCAAAATGTGACCTGAAATGGTAATGGAATGTCATTTGGATTGGTGTTTTTTTTTCTTTATGTATTTGAATAAAAAGATTGATAACTCAGGATTAAGAGAATTCGTGTAATGTCTTTTATGATAGCCCTTATCGATAGAGTAAAGCTTGCTTAATCATCTAACACATATTGACAATAATTTCCATTGACAATCTTATGTGATGAGAACATAATTCATCGGATTGTCAATGGCGGAAACCAAAAACACGCTTCTTCTAAGTATTTACAGCTTCTGCGGGCCATGTGGTTTTTTTAATCCGTCGTCTATTAATGGCATGGCATTATTAAATGGATTTTCCTATATATGTAATCACAGGATTAGATTTGTAACGACGGTAATAATTATCTCTGTACGAGTGTGATTTCCAATTTTAGTTCGTGCCAAATGCTATCAAAATGGCGCGTCGAAATGTCAGACTTATCTCCACTTTACTTCCACTTTACAGTATTAGACAAGTTTCATTTATAGCCACCAAATTAAACGGTATTGCACAACTGAAACAAACCTAGCAAGAACAGTGGTTTTATGTCAATCACAAGTCCAGAATAGTACACAATTAATCGTGGGGATAAGACAATTACGATTCTATGGTATAACGGCTTGGGTTGGAATATTGTAAATACCAGCGTTGACATATTGGAACATTTTATAAAATAACTGAAATAAATCAAGATACCGACCAGGCCTATACGAATTCTAAGAAGAATGTAAAATTACCAATCTAATCAATATTCGCAATTTTTCTTCTCTACAGGTACAAACAAATGCACCCCTTTTCCCTTATAAATTGGAAGAAATATCCAACTTCTTTTAAGTTGCTTTCTTTTTTTTTTTATCAGAAATGAATGCCATTAAGCCTATACTCTATACAGAATATGCTGCCAATTTAGTACATTTATAAACAAGTATCATTTACCAACTTTCTAAAGATGCGGGCATTTCAAATGCAGTTTTATTAACCAGTAGTTTTGTAATTGCACCACCATTCAATAAATGAAATGAGCACAAATTATCAAAGATTGTTGTTTCTTTTTAGAGAGGGGATGCAAAACAGGCTAATAATAAATAGATTTCGGTTTCGGAACAGAACATAACTTTTTTACCATATCACATATTTTGTCCTTTTTGAAGGGGTGGGGTGGGGGTGAAAAAGAGTCGCTTAAAGCCGAAGTGGTATTGAGAAGGGGCTGTGGGTGAAGCGGGGGTGGGGTAATTTATTGTAAAATACTCAATATATAAAGCAGATGCATTTCATGACGATGGTCTGTGTTTTAATGAATCGAAAATTTAAAGCGATTTTCAATATACGATATTTATCAGCAACAGTGGTTACGGGTGTATCTAAAGGTTAAATAAATTTGTGGCCAATTCGTTGGACCTTCGTGTATATTTAAAACTTGAAGCTCCAAACCCAAACCCTGAAACTGCATTGCAATTGACAAACGCGTTATTAACGCGCTCCTTGATAAAATCTAACCAAACTTCCCGGTTGATTCTTACAGTGTTCGTCTCTACATATAAACAATTCAATGTGGTTGTGGGCCAACACATATTTCTGTTTCGTTATAATTATCATTATATCCACGTAGTCCTATGGTATGATAAGGGAGCAAGTTTTACGATTGGTATCGTTTCCTGAACAACGTCCACGGTTTCGAACGAGCTTGCGGTCATAAACAGTTGATTTCTGTGACAAATGAACTGTCCAAACGGACACAAACTAGGTAATTTCTGATTTCGGGAATAGCATATGGTTCAAATTTATTTCAATATTTCGCTTTCGTATAGATATCTTTACCAGTAGGAGGAAACCGCAGGAACTGGAGAAAACTCAGGAGGTTGAACAAGCGATCTTACTTCTTGTCACGTACAAGCGTGGAATCGAATCCACGCTACTTGACTCAATGATAGATCTTGATCCAAGGTGCACGCGTTAACATTTCGGTTACCCAACCCCCTCTTCGTTTTTTTAAAAGTTCATTTCCTTCTGCACAATTCTGTTGGTATATATATATCAAAAGAAAGGTATTTGGCGTCTACCCAACGCTAGTATACTAATTGCCAAAACTTGTGTATACGATTTTCTGGGTTTCTTAAAGTAAAACAGATGGCTTAATTACAGACATTGTTAATATGGAGATTGGTATAAGATATAAAATATTGTCATTCAACGTCTATACCAGATACTGTCCAACATTTACAGTATCTGTTATTATAATTAATTATAACGGTTGGAGTTAGCGATAATAGCTCGGGATGGTTCACATATATGACACTGTTGGTCTTTAGTTTAACGTCCCATGCGCGCCCAATAGTATGGAGTTTAAGCGTACATGTTCGATCCCCGCAAGGAACCCCGATTTACGTAATGTTATCTTAAAGGGGTATTATGTAAGATTAGATAAAGAGCAGATAAAATTGATAATGAAAATTGAATATGTTGAAATTTTCTGTCAAATTTTCAGTCGAGTTTTCGCCGTTACAAAAAAATGTCTCCTCGATTGTCATTTCTACCCCTGTTAAGATAATAAACAAAGTCCCCATTATTCATTTTGAAATTAAATCATTAACCGCAAATCGTATTTAAATCTGTTGAAAATCTAGAGAATAGGGTGGCATTGAGCGTTGATTATGATCTTGGTAAGTTAATTAATTTATTAATGTCTAATTAATAATGTATATAACATTTAAGGCGAAAAAAAGACATGCAATATGCAGATTTAGCTCTTGCATAATGCCTGTTTAACGACTGAAGAAAAAACACCCCGTTCTGAAACCCAGGGGACATTATCCAGGATATTCACCAGAAACATGACTATAGCTATAAATCCTAATTAATAGTTTTATTTCGGTTCGTCTTTATGCTTCTTCAAATGTGTTCAAAGGGGTTTACATCAACGCGCGTCATGTTATGCACCAGACTTCAGCGAGTTTACAAATAGAGCAGTGGAGGATGTTTTGACGTTATTGGGAGAGACCCTTTTCCGTTGACAATACACAAAACAATGACAAAGCTTGTCATATGTCAAATAGAATATAGAACATAAAACCAATGAATAAATGAAATGGGGTTAACGTCCTACTTTTCTGCACCTACCGGGAAAAACATCAAATGGGGGTAAACGCCGTACTTTTCTGTGCCGGCTGGGCTAATAAAGACGGGCGGGATAATCAAGAAGGGCATATGCCAAACAGTGTGCTATGAAAGAGATTGTGCATAGGTAATTTATTTAACTGCCAAGGGTTCTTTTACACGGAACCTCGGTTTTTCTTCCCATCTGAACGCTTAGCCACTGTCCTAGTCCGCCCCCGCCTCCTTCCAAGCCTGCATCACTGACAAGGCGGAGCCGCCCAGGTAAATACCGAGAAACTTTTAGTTCCCAACACCGAGATGGAACACGGGACCTCCACCTTACAGAGACATCGCTTTAATCACTGAGCCACCGTGGCGTTTAAGGAGCATAAAACGAAAGAAAGGGAAAAAACAATTCAAAACTGGGTTTAATCATATTGGGTATAAATGACTTGTTCCTTTATAAAAGACATTGCATTGTTGTATTATTAATTTACAATTGGTTTGTAAAATATTATAAATGTGACATACAGGATTACTTGTATGAAATTGTTGGTTTTATCAATTTATGATTACAATAAACAAAAGACACAGATTATGTGCTGTTTTGGTATAAATTGAGTGCACGTACACGTTATATTGCATTATAAGACTAATGAAGCAGGTGATAAAAGTATTTGCTATTTGAGTTCTGTTTCAACACCAGTACATTAAATTTAAACGTATCGAATCCATATCTTTATCAATGGCAAAAATACTAAAGGTTTTACTAATCTATAAATTTCACGAAACATTTAGATACAAAATTTGATAAGGATGGCGTTGGTGACCAAGGAGAACCGTTTACAAGGACATGATACCTACAAATTCTATTACAACTTGTAGAATTTGCCAAATTAGATAAATTGAATCTATTCATTTTAATAAAAGAGTACAATGAAAGAATTCATTCCACTGAAAATATATTGTTCAAAAGGGTATGCGAAAAGACTAAAATCAGCAACAGTCACCAAAAATAAAATCTGATCTTAGTACAGCACCTCAGAACTGGTGTAATGTATTATGCAAAGTAGGATTTATAAGTTGTTGTAAATGAAATGAAATGAAATGGAGTTTAACGTCCTACTGTTCTGCTCCTAACCTGGGCTAATGAAGACGGATAAGTTGTTGTATCTTGTATACACGGGTAATTGTTTTATAACAGGCCAACATGAGAAATAAAATTGTTACATGATATTCCACTTGGCGGGAAAAAATATGAACTGTTTGGGGGGGGGGGATATTGAAAGCCAGTTTGAGCTCTGCTCACAGGTAACCAACATGAACGTCAGTTTTAAACCTATAAAGTTAAAATGAAAACAGAAACCCAAAGACCGTTGCTGATATATTTGATGTATATGATTGAAAAGTAAATACTACCTACCTGAACCTGTCATTCTTCTCAAAGAACGGTTCCACAGAATTTTTAAAGTACGGAGTCGTGGGTTTGCCCTTTCACACCGATTTTCACATAACGTCGATGCCGTGCTAAGGGCTAACAAAAATGTCAGTAAAAACAGATACAGCGGAGCTCTTTGCGACTTCACCCTTTCCTGCATACCCTGTGAAATAAGAAATAAGACGAAATCAAATCAGAAGTGGTCTAAAATAGAAGTCAATTTGATCGATTACCAGAACTGTTCATTTCCCACGCATGTAAATACACAAGGCGGGTATTATAAAGCATTATAGGGTTAATACAGCCCAACCGCCCACAACACCAAATAAGGAATGTAAAATGATTTTGAGTGGTTTGTGACAAATTGAAGGAAAGACTCCTTATCCGTTATCGTCTCGGATCTGTTCAGTGCGTAATAATTTCTTTTGATTTGATAGAAAATACGATATTAATGGATGGCAATATTGTATAACGACTTTACACACTGGATCAGATACCTGTAATATAAATCATTTTTTGTCAATATTATTGAACGATTTTGACCACGGTGTAAATATCCTGTCTTTACTTTCAACTTCTTACTTCTCTCTTGTTCCAGAAATGTCTAGATGAGATTTCTACTGAAGCCAGTTAATGAATTAAATCGTAAGTGAAGTGTCATTAAAAAGGGGCTTGTTCGTTTATATTGTTTTCCTTTGTAAATAATAAGTCATTTTAATCATTGTTTCAAACAACTCCGAAAAGTAGAATAATATAAGCACAACGCCCACTGTCGCCAGGTTAATCCTATAGACATGCTTTTAGTGCAATGTGTGCGTTTACACGTCTTCTTCAAACCGGTTGGTGCACAACATCATTGCTATCACCTTTGGTAAAGTCACTAGCGTCAACATTTTAAATACACTGGAACTCGTTGGAACCGGATTCAAAAATCACCTGACAATATGTCGCCTGCTACCGGAAATTGTTTATTGGGGATGGCTAATAGATGGGGCCATATCGAATATTACTGTATGGGGTTCGCTACAAAATCATTTTATTGTAAAAAAAAAAAAAAAAAAAAAAATCCACGACAAACATGACTATCCTCAGAATTACTGATAAACTGAACATTTACGCTAGCCGGTTATTCGGGAACAATGTATACTTTCTTAACCACCGACATCACATAAAATTAAGATCCTAATTATCTGTAAATGGTTCAGATGAATATGTTATCAATTAGTTTCGTGGATAGTCTTTTCATGGGCACAACGGTTGCGCCTTTAACCAAGGAGATATACACCACGATTCTTATTGCCATCCTATGCTGGATTAGCCTCTGAAAAACGACAGGCGTTTATGCTTAGTTTCCCCCAAGATCGCACCCAGTGGCATCTGATTTAAGTCGCACTAACGACGAACAAAGGAACTTTAATGGGCTTTTTTTAAAATCCGATTGAATCCAAACCTTGCGATTAAATACCGTCGATATTTTGCTTTTGTTTTCTTGATTAAATGTTAAATAATGAATCAGGAGACAGTTATCCCAGACTAACTCGTAAAAAAAAAATAGATATTGTTTGACAAATTCAAATGAAAATCGCCGGCTTTAGTGTCATTTCAAATTTCACTAAATCAGTTGTATCTATATTCAATGGCAAGACGAAGATCCTGAAATCAAACGAGTTCTTATTGTAATCAGTACAAAAACTACAAAAAACAACATTTTAACACATCTCATGATAAGCCTGGCTTCTATCGTGTTAACGGGATATTTGTAACTCCTTAAATAACTTATATACATTATTCGAAACGCGTTATTTTCTTGACTCAATCTTCCTATATTAAATTATTAAAAATACCCAAATGACAGAGACATAACCTAGGTCATTTGGGGACTAACATAATGTTGAGAATATATTAGTGAACTCGAAAAGCGTTTAAAATCTGTAGATATTTAAAAAGGTTAGATGACCCCCAAACTTCTCCCAAGGAATGGGAGATCATTGAAAGTAACTATGGCAGTCATCATTACAAACGATGGAGCTGAACAACCTAGTAAAATAGGTACCATGCTAATTACAAACAAATTGGCAACAATATCCAATCACATTAAGATTTTAAGGTATTGAGACGGACATTTCATATGAGGTGCCTTAAGATAAATGTCTTGGTAAGGGCATTTTACTATCAAGGTTCTAATCCTCCGTTTACAGTTGTCCGACGTCGTTACTGAGTACGGGGTATTGTCTTCACACGCGTAAAATGTAAACAGATGTGAATGCAAAACTTTCCTTGTCAATCGGTAGTAGGCCTATCGTTTGGATTTGGCAATACAGACTCAAGCCAACGCTCCACTCCGCTATACACTCTTAAGACCAACTAGAAATCAGCCTGATTTCTTCATGTTTAGGAATTTGACCTCAAAGATAATGGAAGTTTGTTGAAGAGAATCCTGTCATCAACTTCTCAAAGATAATAAATTGTCGCCCAATTATTATCTATTTAGATGGTGCAGTGTATAAGTGTCATATTACACTGCTCTATATTTAGAATATAAAAGCTAGATGATTTGGAGATCAGGTTCTGTGGGATTTTCAATTGAAATTAAAATTAAAATTGAATAAGAGAATAAAAGAAAATAATCAAATTGAATGTAGAAATAAACAAATTTAATAACAATTTAATACAATAATTGTATCATGAAAATAAAATTGATTCAAATATTACATAAAGTAATAATTAGCTTATTTAATTAGATGTAGCATCTTGTTTTAGCCAGGGTATACAAACATAAATTTCAAATTTAAACCAAATCGGCTAAAAATTATGACCTCTACACTGTTCACGAGCTCAAAACGTAATATTTCGTACAATCGGGGGCCATAATCCATGAAGTTACAGTCCGATACATGCCAATATCGAAAGGAACCGAGATCTTAGGGGGATTAACCTATATTTCAAGTTTCATTGAAATTGGATAAAATTTGTGTCCTGTAGAGTGTTCACAAACAATTGTGGACGTCCGGACAGAGCCGACGACAATATACGTCCACATGAAAATGTCAGCGTATAAAAATGGATTCAAATATTACATAAAGTACCGGTAATAATATGCTTATTTAATGAGATGTAATATCTAATCAGTTGATAACTATCTGGCAGTCATTATCAGAAATCGTTGAAAATCAACAGGCTTCTTCGTCTGATGACCTTAAAGACTGTGTATATATTTAAAGTCAATCGGATATTAACTTTAGCCCCTAGAGCGTCCACCAGATTTTTCAAAGTGATAAAGGGCGATATATGTAACTCTGGCAGTAATTATCGGAATTTGGTGAAAATCAATAGGATTCTTTGTAAACACGGATATTAATTTCAAGTCAATCAGATATTAAATTTACCTCTAAAGAGACCACAACCTTGTATTACATACTTTTAGGCTATTCTTCAAGTGTCATATTGAGTAATTTGTATATAATAGTGTTAAGTTGTTATCTATCAACCTCATCATCGATAATAAATATGATTTATATAAAAAAGAGCTTTTTATTTTAGAAATTAAAATGTTGTCATTTGATACTCACAATGGCAGGTTTATAGCTATCAACACTTATCTAACTGGACTATTTATATCAGCAATAATGCCACTCAGGCTGGACATATTGTTTAGATTAGCATTCCAGGCAATTAAAAATCAGTGAACCGGGCCAAACCCAAACATCCAAAATTTAGCTCTTTTTTCTAGATGGTCTTAGGACTGTATAACTAGTAGTTTGTTACTAATTAACAAAGCCATTTCACCAACAAATAAACAAGCAAAAGCTAACTGTCACGGCCATTAATAGAAAATAGAATTATTTCAGTTTGATGGAAATCCCTAAAAGGTATTTAAAATATTTTTACAGGTTAACACCAAAGGTGCGCTAACGCACATTCCGTCATTAATTTACAGCACAGTGATCAATTTTGTAATCGTGTTTTCGGAGCTAAATTGTGAATGTCACGTCACATTAAACGAATAGCAGGGGTACCGATTTCACGCACTACTGCATCAAATGTGAAACTTTGACTATTTTAATTTGTTCACCATAACAGCAAGTCTGTTTTTAATGTGTATTGTAAATGTCAGATCTTATGAGATACCTTTTTGCTTGACTGATTTTGAGATACAAACTTTCCAACGTTGGCGTGGTAACGGGGTTCAGCGTCCAGGAGTCAACCACACTTTCGACCTATTTTACTAAATTTGTTAGATTGCATAATAAAGGAAGAATAAAGCAATGTTGTGGAATATATTTTATAATTGCACCGAATAAATATTACAATTTAAATGGTGTCATTTATATTAGAGCAGTCAAAAATTCTGATAGTTTTTTCAGAATGATAACACGTAGAGCCCTATTTATTTTCGGAAGAAGATGTGCCTCTCTATTACACGACAAAATTCGATTACTATGCAATTTTCACATCCGTGCGTTTAATTCTCTGAACATTAATAAAAAGTACGCACGCTACGTAAATTGAAATCCGCGATAGCTTAACAGATTTGTTTCTAATTTTGCACAATCTAATCTGAACATGCTCGATTGAACTGTATTGTCACATCACGTCAAATCGATTCTATTTACCAACTGGCGGATACACCGTTAATTAATTCTAAAAGTAAGTTAGAAATAAGACATTATAGATAACTGTTGAATGTCACATAGTTTTATTCTAATTCTAAAATTTCGTAAAATTTGCGACAGCCAAAATTTATAAGTACAAATTTATCGAAAGTAAACCGTTGCACGGGGTTTATAGCATCCATAAAAAAATGAATAATACGAGTCGGATCTTACACCATAAACGTATTCACCATGCAAGAGTGCGCGTGATGAATTAAACTTCACAAAAAGGTTGTTATATTTGAAGAAGTATTTATTATATTTAATAATCGTATGTGCGAATGGTGTTAACCGGTGTCTAGAAGTGGCATTGGAATTGACATTTTAATAATGGATTTGCGATCGCTAGGGAATACAATTACACAGGCGTCAATAAGCATAGTTTAATATTATATCTTTTTTACATCAACGATGGGCCGAATAATACACGGATGTGTATGCCTATAGTGATGACTGATGAATTTAAAGTACGGCTAATGTTTCTTAAGAATATATATGGTTTTTTTGTGCT